CCCTAAACCCCAAACCCTAAGTCCGATCACCCTCTGGACCCAAAAAGGGCGGCCTTGCCTCCTCCGCAGGTGGGTTGCTGGGCATCTCTGGTGGAGAGGGATCCTGGCAAAGAGTACTCATGATGAGTTGTAGGGTTTAGGACTTAGCGTTTAGGGTTTAGGGTTTGGGGCTTAGGATTTGGGGTCTAGGGTTTAGGATTTGGGGTCTGGGGTTTAGGGTTTGGGGTTTGGGGTTTAGGGTTTCGGGTTTGGGGTTTAGGATTTAGGCTTGGGGGTGAAGACCGTATTGGGCTGGTTCCCCATTAGAAGGTCCCTTTACAGGGGTCCTTATAATGTTGCGGGTATCTAAGAGGACCCATTTTTGGAACTCCTTAGAACCTGCATCCTGGCAACGGCGACAATTCCGTCTGCTGCTCTACAGGATTCCAACATCAAGTATCCCAAACATAGGAATAGCGCCATCACTATCACTTTGGAGCTACACTTTGATGTCATCCATGACCGGAGCTTGAGGTTGATAACATCTGCTAGGCTCCTGATGCTTGGGGCAGCAAGATCTACAATGTGCGTTCCCTACTTGCGGCCCAAGCGAATTTTAGAGAGAACTGCCGATGTGTGGCCCCCGGCTGATTGTAAGTGTATCCACGCAGCCGTTTGCCATTTGTTTATGAGACCTCCTTGTGCTTACGAATGCTCAGGCCGCGCGATAGGTTGGTGGCCTAATCTCCTCCAAAAGGGCTAGTGGAAGCAACGGTCTCTCTACACGGGCATCCAAGACACACAGTAGACATGCTTGAGGCACAGCAACTCCAGTCGGATGCAAGAGTAAAGGGCTAGTTGCGAACCTCTAACATAGTGGTATATCAGGTGAAAGAAAAGGATGACATACAGATAATGAGAAAGAAAACGACAACTACTCTATCATAATGGAGGCATGGAATCTTGAAGCCTGCTTCATGTTCCACAAGCAGGTGGATGGTTATAAGTGATTGGAAGTTGAATTTCAGCTTTTCTGCTGTACTTCGCAAGAAACTAACACAAAGGACATGCTTACATAGGTCAAGGCGTTGTTCATTTCTTGGATGGGAAATTTGAAAAACGTGTCCAACAGCGGGTGATTGGGTTTTAGGTGTTTTGGTGTTTTGTACATTCTTATTGCGGTTGGGTTCCTCGTGGAAAGAAGAGCCTAGAGTCCCCGAATGATCGAGCCAAGAACCCCCCTTTGATCCCAATCCATGCCATCCCAGGATGCCTACGCACCCTAAATCAAACCCTAAACCTTAAACCCTAAGCTCTAAGCCCTAAACCCTAAATCCAGAACCGCGCCCTGATTTGAAGCACCCTCAGTTCCACCCAACGCCGACAACTCCACCCTGCCTCAGGAGGCAGGAGCTCTTCTTCGAGGGGCCCAACACGCTCCTCGTCCTTGCCCGAGGTGTAAGGCTTGAACCATGGGCCCTAGGATGGGTCCTTAGAAGCCTGTTTTTGGTGGGATTCTACTAGCCCATAAAGGGCTATAGGGCCTATTAGGATATACTAGGTCCCGTATGTGGGAACTCCAGGATTTACTGGAGGCCCATAGTTTTAACTTTAGATGTGGCCTTGGGCAGCTCGCGGGTTTGAGGGCTTTGCTGCCTCGGGTCTTGGCTTTCCCTCTTCAATCGCCAAGTATGAAATCATCAACGGTGGCCTGTTGAGTGGGCATACTGCGCGCTTCTCGGGTCTATGCAGGAGTGCGAGCCACTGCCAGAAACTGGAACATGTAGCACAAGATGCAAACAGTGTCCGGCAAGGACTGTATAAACCTAAAGGACTAAAATCGCTTTCGGAGTATTCCAATTTCAGAACGGCAGGAACCCAAGAAGCTGTCCTGCTGAATCAGTACGCTTGGAAGGGTAATTGCACGATCATGGTAAATGTACCAAACTTTGTCAGATACCAGGTGTCAAGTAGGCCTCTTGTAAGGTTACCCACCTCATAACTACACACCTGGGACTTATTCTATACCGGGATTATGGGGTCCTTAAAGAGAAATGTTCCGCCCCAATGAAACTGCGAGGGAAATCTGATCCCAAAGCACGTCACCCAGCCTCAGCATGCTGCGGCTCCTCTTCGAGATTTGGGGAGTTCTCAGGAGCGTTCATTCCTTCTTTGGGTTTCTTTCGTTGCATTAAAGATATATGTAACCATCATAAGGTAGCTGTTGAAAATAGATGGCCATAAGGTAGGTTCCCTTTTGGCAATAGTGTCCCTTGAAGGAAGTATATTCCCAACGGCCCCTCTTTTACCAGGACCTCTAAAACATCCCACATAGGGACTGTGAGGTTGAAGATTTTGGAGCTCAGAACTTTGGAATTTCCCAAAAATTATGGACCCATTGTTGAAGAAGGACCTAGATGCTAATAAGTTCCCGAGGTCTACCATTCATGCGAGCCTCGGGAGCTCGGAACCTTTAATCCCAGCCAAACAACCTCTGAGCATACTTATGGCTACTCATGCTTGACCAGGCGGAACTGAACATGGCCGGGTTTAAGGATTGAGGTGTTACGGTTCACCACGTAAGGTTCGAGACTTGTGAAGATGCAGCGTGAGACACCATGGTTTTCAGACTCAACGGCTAGTGATGGAACTCCATGCTTGCCTGGAGTCTGGTATGTGCTACGCGTATGTTTTTGGGTCTTGGCGAGTACAACATGGACAACATGGACATAAGGGCAAACACCCTGCAGCAGGGAATGTAGAGGGAACTGATGCGCGCGGGTGCTTCCCACAGAAAGCTTCTGGTAGCCTCCTTCAACGGAGCAGCCTATGACATCCTAAACAAAACACCGGTGCCTCGTGCTAGCGCCTACCGTACCTACTTGTCGGTGATCCAAGACGTGAACACCTTGCGAAGGGAACTGCAAACAAAAAAAGATGCCGAGCTATCGTACCCATATACAACTATTGCAAGCTGTGACAGCGCTCCAGTTCCAAACACGTCGCGCACTCACGCCAGAATTTGCCCATAATTGGATGCTCTCCTTCCTATCCTAACTCAGTCCCCTGCTGAAAGGTCTACTCAGCCTAGATCTGAAGAGCACAGTGGAAAAAAGGCCAAGCACTGTCCAAGAACTGCTATCCAACTTTTGAATGCAGACGTTTTGCATCTGATGTCCCAAACACTGAACCCCCGCAACCTTAGCCCCATGAAGCCTAGACCCTCACCCGTCAGCCTGTTATTATTCTTACTATTATTCCTACTATCCTTGTTATTATCGTTCGTATACTCTATTAGTGTTAATGGTATTGTCTTATTCTTAGCACTACTCTAACTTGCATTGTTTTCCTTCTTCTAGGCGGCCCTATAGGCAATATCAGCTGAGGCCTTGGCCTTCTTGCCCTTCTGGTTGCGAACGGGCACCTTGAAAAAGGCATTTTTTGGATCCAGGATTTAGGGTTTAGGGCTGAGGGTTTAGGGGTTTAGCGTTTAAGGTTTCGGGCTTAGGGTTTGGGGTTTAGGCTTTAGGCTTTGGTCCTGGCTTGAACAGCACCCGGTTCTGAACCACGCCTTAGAAGAGCATATGTCATAGGGTGTAGACTAGTAATAGTCTAACTAACAGTATAAAATTCTAGTACTCGCATGTAAAAAGAACAGAAGACTTTAATAGTAACAGTCGTAACTTAACAACAAGACCCTGAATCCTACACCCTAAACCCTACTCGAGGGCGCCTCCTCCACGGAAGCCTGCTGCTGGTGCTGGTTCTGCTGGCGCTCGGCTGGAACGCTCTGCGCCCCTGCGCCACAATGCACGCTTTGCAGGGGTTTTGGGTTTCGTATTACAGGCGTAAGGGTTCAAGGTTTAGGGGTTTAGGGGTTATGGTTAAAGGCGTAATTCTTGGAACTGAAGAACAGATTCTAAGGCTAAAGCACTGAGCCCATAGTGTGGCTAACTACAGGCCGTAGACAGATTGAAAGATCTACTGTGAGTGGTTTAGGGAGCAAGGTTTAGGGTAAAGGGGTTTCTGGCTTTTGGTAGCGTGCTGGGTTTGGGGTTGAAAGGATTGAAGTTTGATAGCGAGAGGGATTTAGGATTGTGGGCTTGGGGGGAGTGAAAGACTAGGTTTGAATCATTTTACTGGGAGTGTACGCCTTCGGGTGAGGAGGACTGAGGGTATCGCATCACGTTGGAGCTTCAGAGCTTGGGCGGAAGGATTCAAGGCTTTGAATTCGTGAGCTTTAGCGTTGAAGTATGACCGAGGACTCTGAGATTCTCCAGTGTTCAAACTGCGCGGTGAACTACTGACACAAACTCCAAGCTGTCCGACAGTTTCCTGAGCCCACCATCTGAACAACACGCTCCAGAAAGAAACGACAATCGAATATAGGTTTGAAGGGCGTCAAAACGCACGCAGCAAGTGGCATCCGAGCTTTCTACACAAAGATCTTCGTCCTGAATCCAGCACAATGTGGACCAACAATGCTGTTAGCTCAAAACATGCACGTTGCCATCCCTCAGTGACGCGTAACAACTCTGCTCACTCACAATCAGTGGCCTAACAATCAGAGCTTCAAATACAGTTCAAGTTTAGGTCAGGCGTCCGGAAAAATATGAGTAGGGTGGCGGCAGTCAACACTAGCATGGTTGCCAAGTGTAAAATCTACTTACACTCCTGCAGTAGGGATTGACGAACGGACCACACAAAACTTACTGGCGCTGAAGAGAGGGTGGCGTGGTGGACTCCTATACCCGTCCCTCTATTCCTGCTCCCCTGCAATACTCATGGTAATGGTAATACAAATAATGATAATAATAAGAGTATGAGCAACACGTTCTAGTAATAGGAAGAATATGAATGAGAGCAATGAGAACACTAACTAAAAATATTGGCAATAGTAGTCATACTGGTGAGTAAGCACCAGTGAGCCAATTTCAAACCGCTTCCGCCCTCTCAAACACGCTTCGCGCCTTGACGAGCAGACCTGCCCAAAAGGCTTAAGGTTTAGGGTTTAAGGCTTCTCTCAGCAACCCTATTTCTGAAAACCCCCCCTATGAGCTGTAGTCTAAACTCCTAGTATCCCACTTAATAAACCCTAGAATACTCCCCTACACAGTCCCCTACATAACAAGCCTTTCAGGAATTCAATATGGTTAGGGTTTTCAGGCCAAGGACTGCGAGGGCTTAGGATGTAGAATATGGGGTATATGGGGATCTTATAATATACCCAAACCTATAATCTATCTACTCAAGGGGTACTATAGAATCCAGAATCCAGGAGTTGGACGCCCAAATAAATTGAATTGTGGAAATCAACTGGAACATGACGCAGAAACTGGCAGGGTGGGTGTGGGTTTCTATTGCTACGTATAAATATTGTATGCAGGAGCCTCGATAAATCCTTAAATGCGACAATGGTTCGGGAGGATCTAATTTTCAGGAGTGGATGCCAGGGGACAAGTTCACAGAGCAAGAAAAATCTTGTCAACTAGAATCGAAGAAGACAAGGGAAGATTTCAATCTCACGCGAAGGTTCGAGATCCAAAAAAACTTCAACTGGTCGTAACCCAATTTTGGCATGGCTTTGCGGTTAGCGTGGAAAAGGAAGATGCAACTTTCCACAAAATGAAATTTGTAGCCTGGGTCACATTGCGGCTGCTGCTGTGAAGGTCCCTAATGCGTGAAAAAAAGAAAACAGGTGCAAAGCAACTATACAGATGCATTCAGCCCCAAAACTACATCAAAAAGACCCGCCCCAGCAAAGCTAGTGTACTTGCACGGCATCCCCACGAGTCATACCGACTCTTATGCCGTCTATTTTTGAACCAGGGTGAAAGCGAGTAGATGCCTACGAAACGGCACTACATGGGGCCAAGGTATTCCCTGAATCATGGCGAAAAAGCCCTTGCTATGCTGCTACACCTCAGCAGCCAAACTGAGACCCCGAAGCCCAGATCCTAAACCCTGAAACCCAAACCCTACTCAGCTTTCATCCCGAAACCCAACCAACTTGTCACCCTCATCCCATACTCTTGAAGCCCAAAACAACAAGCCCTCCCTTCGTCTGCGGAGAGGCCTGTTTTGCCGAGCCCAGGTTCGTTTTGTCTCTTGGGCCTGCAAGAGGGGTGTCTGAAACTGCTGGGAAAACGATTTCAAATCTGAGGCTTAGGGTATTTCAGGATTTGGAGGTTTGAGGTTTGGCATAGCACTTGTTCGCTGGGACGGGGAACGGATCATGTTTTGGGGGTTTGGGGTTCAGGGTTGACCAGGTGGCTGGTCTGGCGCGCGGTGTTGGTCGGCTGCTTTTGTTTTAGGATCTTGGGATCGAGCAGCTTGCATTGGTGCCTTGGACCTGGGCTTCGAGATTCGGGGTTTACAGGGAAGTTATCTCATGCGTTGCAGGCTATGTGGTTTGAATATTTTTCCCCTTTGGGAAGAGGAATTCTAAAAAAGGAGTAATACTCTGTGGCGAACAGGGAACTTAGAGGATTTGCAAGGCGACCTCCTAACCCTGTTCGCCTTGACTTCCTCACCTCTGACCCTACACTCAAAAGGTCGCACACCCACACCTCAAACCTCCCAGAAGTAAGTAGCAACCTCAAATCATGTCTTCCAAACCAGAGCCCAACTCCCAAGACCCTTAGAACTGCCTGGAAGGGATATAAGCCTTATAATGTTGGATCCCGATTAGCTTGGGGTTCCTTAATTTTGCGAAGCTTCGCCGAAATTATTCATCACCCCCCCTGTTCATCTGGGGTCCCTGAATTATGCGAAGTTGCGCGGCCAAAAAAGTAATTCTGAGCCGATCCTGAGCCCTCCTATTTAAATGAAAACACAACCTAGGATCCAGATTTGGCTAGTCCCTCCTATTGAATTTTGACTAAAACCTGAAAACCATGGATTGTTTGGGGGGTACACCCCCCTCCCTCCACTAATTAGGAACCCCATTTTGTTTAGGAGGGGCTACACTAATCAGGACCCAACATTAGAACCCTTACATACTTCATAAGCAACCCCCCAGAATGCCCCTGGTCATTATATGAGCCGTATAGAACCCTTACAAACTCCCCAACTACCCCCCAAGAGCCACATCTTAGCCTTACAGAACCTTCATATCACCACTAGACAACCCGCAAGAGCCCTCTAATGCCTTATAGCCTATCCAAGCTGTATAGAACCCTTACATACTCCCTGACTGCCCGATAACACGTTAAAAATCCCATCCTTACCCTATAGGACCTTTGCATACACCCCTAGAAAACTCCCTCCTACACCCTGCCAAAGCAGCCCCAAGTTAGGGTTTAGGGTTACAAATCCCAAACAGCCCCACCTCTGCCGCCGCCACCTCGTCTGCAAGTTCCGCAGCCCTCTGGCGCGCCTGCAAAGAGTGCTACACGGTATAGAGTTCAGAACTAGGTTTAGAATGTGTTTTGGGATACAAGGCCAAGGTGGAGGTTCGGAGTTTCAATCTTGGGTTTTGGCTGTCCGTGTAGGGTAAAGGTTTGACCCTAGATCCCTGAATGACATCCATTTATGCGAGTGATCCCGACGGTTGTCAAAATACTCAGCACCGCAGCTATAATGCTTCAGTCTGTCAGATGAAGTGAACAAGCACATCAGGGAAATTAACTTCAACATAATTTGAAATAACACTGGTCATAGTATTTCTCCTCAGACTTCAGGAGGTGGAGGGCTCAGGTGCTTGGAGTCCTCGGGCCGGCGCCGAAACTCTCACCCTTGACTGGAAGAAACATGAGGCCGAACGAACTGGACGAAGTTGGGATAAACAAATTTGTCGGCTCGGGGCACGGAAGATTTTGAGATGTCGATGTGTTGGGCCTTGGAAATTCAGTCAAAAGATGCCGCAAGGCCAGCTCTACTTTTTTTTATTGGCAAGGCAATCTTTCCTAGTTCCGGGACCAGCCCTGCCCCAGAAACCCTGAACCCCTTCCTTCGAAACCCCAGTCGAGACCCCCTAACCCCACTTAACAGCAAGGCCCAGCCTCATCACTATCACCCGGCATTTGCTGCCAATCACTCTCCTTGGTACAGGGTGCCCTGAGGGTCTAGGAGTCGAGGAGTCTAGAAAGTGTGAGGGGCGGTTTCTGTAGAGACAAGAAGAAGGGTTTGGGCTTATGGAGAGCTTGCTGTTCAAAGGGCAAAGGCTTCTAGGGTCAGAGTGTTGGGGTCTCGAAGGGTTTGCTATACTACACCCCTGCCAATTCACAAGTTGGGGGACATCTGTTGTTCAGATTCCTGCATGACTTCTGCGAATTAACCAAACTGCTGCCCTTCAGTGTTCAAAGCTTGGGACCCCCAAGTCCTTGACTTTCAAACCAGCCTTGACCGCGATTTAGGGTTGAGGGATCTGGGATGTAGGGTTTAGTCATTTAGGAATTCAGGGTTAGGGGTTTAGGGATTCAGGAGTTTAAGGTTTAGGGTTTAGTGATTTAGCAATTTTGGATTGAGGGTTTGGGGATTTAGGGTTTAGGGTTTAGGGACCCCGCAACCCCAAACCCTCAAACCCTGAAGCACATTGCCCCGCACCCTCAACCTTTCAGCGATAAAGTAATTTCGAAAACCTTGAGCCCTACGTGAAGGCTCATGGGTTGCTCTTAATGAGCTTACACGTCCGCGAGTTTCATCTCTAACTTTGCTGGAATTCTCGCAGAAAGCGCACCCTAGATTGCTAGACAATAACCTGAAAACATAAGCCCTAAATCCCTAAACACGAGGCCACGTCCCTGAACACCAAAAAAAACCTTCAAACTGTTGTCAACCCCCGCTTTTGCAGCCAAAGCCGCATCCTCCTCCACTGTCTTGGTGCGAAGCCTCGGCCAGGGAGCTAAAATCATCCCTTGCTTTATGAAGTGGGTGTTTCCGTGGATAGGGGGCCCAAAAAAACTCGCACAAAACGTAGCCCTGATTACAGGGACTCCCCAAAAGGCGCCTACTTTTTGGAAACCCAAGTACCTAATTCCCACTTACATGCAGATTAAAACTTCTAGCTGAGGAATTTAGGCCTTAGAGTTTGGAGTCTAGCTTTACGATGGCCCAAAGTGCAAGAAAACTGAGGTTTAGGGCTTAGGGCCCATACCCTGAACCTCAGTGGAGCAGTTGTAATCCTAGAATATCCCCTATATCATCTCCAACCATACAACAGTTTCCAGGCGTATCCTTGCATCATGATAGCCATACTGGGCCTACCAGTTGATGATCTGTTTGGGGCTAGGTTTAGGGCCCAAATATCCTTTGCCTGTACTTGGGTAGCTTCGGGCTGGAAGGTTGGCCTAGAGTCAACAAAGGTCCACAGTCCTAACGCCTTTCACTGATACTAAACCGTCAATGCCTCAAATCTTCAAAACAGCACCTACCCCTCACCAGAACACTCACCAAAGACACTCTCTCAAACACAGAGTCCCCGCAATCATCTTGCTTCCCCGATAAAGGGTCTTTGAGAAACGAACCCATCCTAGAAACTTCCTCTTCTGGTACCCCATGCCTGCAGCCATCCCTTAAAACAAACCCCTTTCCCACCAACGGACTCACCACATAGGGATTATATATCGAGATTATATAGGAAGAATGGCACAGAAAATGGAAACTGCCATGGGCAAAGCAACTCACTATATAGGGATGATAGAGATTATACACAAATTCTATAGGAATAATGGAACGGAAAATGAGCTGTAGTCTAAACTCCTAGTATCCCCCTCAATAACCCCCAAAATATTCCTCTATAAATCCCTAAACCCTAAACCGCTAAAACCGAAACCCTAAACCCTCAACTCTAAACCCTAAAACCTAAAGCAAAGCAAAGACCCGGGCTTCTGCAGCTTCCGCATGTCCGTCCTCTCGGCCTTGTGGACCTCCTCGTAGCTGTGACCTCGGATTGGGTTTGCAACTTAAGGTTTAGGGTTTAGGGTTTAGGACTTAGGATCTAGAGGTTGGGGCTTAGGGCTTAGGGTTTAGGGGCTAGGACTTGGGGCTTAGGATTTAGGACTTCGGGTTTAGGGTTTAGGACCTAGGGTTTAGGGGCTAGGGCTCAGGGCTTAGGGTTTAGGACTTGGGGTTTAGGACCTAGGGTTTAGGGTTTAGGGCTTAGGCCGTTGTTGGGACCGTGTATCACGATCCAGGATGTGGGGAAGATGTCTGGGATGTAGGTCTGATGAAGGCTTCGACCTAAGTTTCATTCCCATGTTCTAGAAGGTAGTGGGTGCAAGAAGGGAGCATCTTTTGCTGCGGCCTTTCTCCCACACACTTCAGAAAGCTTCTTCCTGAGGAGACAAAAGGATTACATTTTAGGATTCTACAGAGATCATGTTGAGAGACTTCCATATCATTTCTGCGTCCAGACTAGTCGTTGAAGGACAATATCCGAAGACTCATGGCCGCATAAAGGAGCGAGTTGCACGGGCTTACGCACAGGATACACAGAACGGCTTGGATTGGACATGAATCCACATACACTATCTTCCTGAAAGCTCTTGTGTGGCATCATTGCTGAATAATTTCTGAGCTACTGGCCCATGGCCTGGGAAAGCATCTGAATCCGCTTTCTCTGCGGAATCTGCACTGCCTGGCATTCACCGCTTGGAGAGTCGATGAGCTAGCAAGTTGTCAGTTTGCGAGGACGGAAATGGTAAAGACAGGAGTGACAGGATATAAACATGATCCAAACCGCGAGGGCCGTACAGGCTTGGAGATTCTGGCTCTCATGAGGCTAGATCTCTGGTATTGAGCAAAGGTGCACTCAAAGGCGTGGTCCCCTTCGTGGTCCCCTTCTTGACAAACAAACAAACAAACAAACAAACAAACAAACACTTCCTTCTCTCCGGCACCAAGCGAGGACCCTGCGATTTTGAGAAACCTCCCTGGGGCCTCTTTGGCTTCCGCGTCGGGGTCGTCAAACACCAGGCGGGCCTGAGCTTTGAGTTGTATTCAGAGGCGTGCGGCACATGTTTCATGTTTGGAATGTGGGAACAGCGCTTGCAAGCACCAGCACTGGCTCTGGATTAAGGGCATTGAGGTTTGAGATGTTGAGTGCATGCCGCATGGCAGCAATGATTGTGCGGCATCATAACATACGTACACCAAGGATCCGCACAACAGGCAGCCTGCGCAGTTGGGGCACATGTAGCCGTCAAAGTGATGACCCCTTCCCAAGCAGCCCCTGATTATGACTTCTAACCCCTCTCCTAATGCAGAAACCAAGGATCCTAATCCTAACAACAACCCAGACATCCCTCAGTAAGAGGGGAAGTCCAGGGGAGCGAGTCCACACTGGCTTTCCGTGATCTCGCCCCTACGGTACTACTATGGAATGAATCTAATGATGAACCCTTTTATCCTGAGCAATGCTCATGTGGCACATGCCCAGATACAACTCTTCCGGTGCACTTCGAAGTTCTGGCCCAGGGAACGGCACAATAGCTGGGCTCCACACGACCACGCAACCCAACGCCTGTCCAGGAAGCTACCGTCCCAGGGGGCATGTCTGCTTCTGGGCTGTTGGGAAATGCTTGGCACACATGAGTCTTTCCAAATTTCTGAGAGGGCTTGAGAACCCACATGGCAAGGCCATCCAAACTTGAGACGGCATAGCTTGTCAGCACAGGTGTTCGCTTACGTTAGCAAAGGTCGCCAAACATTTTAAAACAAGAAGCACCAAGCATGCCCATCAACTAGGTGATCACGGCACACAATGTCTTTGGAGTGATGTCCTCAATGGAGAACCACTGCAACAGCATGGTCATCACGAAGGTCCACTTGTCATTTGCAAAATATGGAATCAGCACCAGCCGCGCTCCTGCCGCTTTGCACAGCTCTCGCTTTCTGGTATCTCGCTCCTGCTGGGCCTCGAAGCTGGAGATGTCACCGAAGTGGAGTAGCTTTCTGGGTCATAGTGCTGCTCACCCTGGTACTCAAATGCCAGCGACAGCTCACGGCAGTAGCCATCCAGCTGCAAGCCCTCCAGAAACTTTGGATAGTCCGAGTCAAACTTAGAGGGGAAGAAGATGGTCTCGAGGATGTCGCGGATCTGCTCCTCTGTCCTCCAAATGCTGGTTGCGCAAGTTGGGCACCAGGTCTTGCCGTTCATCACGCTGTGAGCCGTCGCCTTCCATCGGTGTCCCTCCCGGCACTCCCAGAGAAGCTTGACAAAGCAGTTCTTGTACGACTTCGCCAGGCACCTCCCACCCAGCGAGGCAGCGTGTGCCTGGAGGCGCGGAAGCCCAATCTTCCTGCAGTGCGGGCACCACTGACCTAAGTTCAGCACGCTCGCCGCTGTTGCCTGCCAAACGTGTCCGTGCTTGCACTTCCACGCCACCTTACTGTGTGCGTTCACATACTCAGTTGCGAGGCACTCTCCGCCTCGCTGCGCCGCATGCTTCCTCAGCCGCTCCAAGCCGATGGGAGCACGCTGCGCACATACAGGACACCAGCTGTTCTTGTTCAGCACTGCGTTCGGAGTTGCAAGCCACCTGTGGCCCTCCTTGCACTCCCACTGCACCTTCTTCCTCATACGGCGGTATTCAACGGCTTGGCAGCGGCCTCCGCGGGAAGCTGCATGCTCTTGCAAGTCCTGCAAGCTTCGCCTCGTCCGCACTTTCTGCTTTCGCGCGCATTCAGGGCACCAGGTGCCAGAGTTCAGAACGTTGCCGGCAGTGGCCTCCCAGGCGTGTCCCAACCTGCACTGCCAGTGGTACTTGCTTCTGTTGTTACTGTACTTTGTGGACAGGAGCTTGCCGCCTCGCTTCCTCGCGTGGTCCCGCAATTTCTCCAGAGTGCCCATTCGCCTTTCAACAGCGCACAGCGGGCACCAGCTCTTGTTGAGCAAAACATTGATCGGAGTGGCAGGCATCGGTGGCCATGTTCGCACTCCCACTGGACCTTTGTCCTGTTGTTCAGATAAGAGTCTGCCAGGCATGACCCACCTTTGCTCGTAGCGTGGTCTTGAAGGCGCCTTAGAAGCTGGTCTTTGGCAATGCGCCGCCTGTTCGAACTGGGAGTAGCGGAGGATGTTTTGCGCGGCTTTGCTGCTCCCAAACCCTCACAGAGACAATCACCGCCCGCGTGGCAGCTGCACTTCACAGCCCGCCGGCCTGCCACTCTATATATTCTATATGAAGCCAACCCAAGGCAAAAGCAAACCTGCCTGACCCACTTCTGATAACGGCCAGCTGTTCGAGATTTCATCCTTCCGGCTCCAGCGCCTGCTGTAAGAACCACAGGCGCCTCTTTGGGCAGCCAAGCAGGCAGAACTCCATGTATCTGCATCTCGGGAAGGCGAGGGACAGCCAAGGCGGTAAAGCATCTAAATTCTTGCTTAGCTCTTTGGAAGTCCGCATACCAACGATATAATCGTGTCGTCCTATTTTTGGGGGGCCCGCGATCTATGGAAACCCCCTATGAGTCTTTTCTGGAATGAGGAGGGTCCTTCGAGTAGATGGAATTCAATGGATCAGGGATGAAATTGTGGGGGAACAGCTTTTCAGACTCTCTTTTCCCTGTTACGCTTTGCGATGACAGGGGGAGCTCCTCGTAAGCAACTCAGGGCTTCACCGTCCTGCGGCATGCTGGATCCCAACGCTCGAACCATCGTTATAACGGATAATGAGAGCCCTCAATGTATGGACCTATACTCCTATACTCAAAGGAAGTATACTATACCATTATCCATATACAACCGCATTATTGTAGTTTCCATTTTATTTTCCATTATCCTAATATTACCCCAATATAACCCATTATACCAGGAAAGAATGGGTTCTTTGGAAAGCAGGGAGTCAAACTTCACCATTCGAACAGGCACAGAGTTGACTTGGGCAAGGTCCGGGCCCAACCGAAACATGTGCGTAAACTTACTGGGTGATGACCTGTAAGCACCCTGGAACTCACGTGAAGAATGGCCCAGCTGGCAAGCAGTTCGCAAGAAAGCTCGTGACCCTGTAGGTTCTAAGATCACATACACCTCGTGCAATGAGGCAGAAGAATCGCTGGGAGGCAGTCAGCCTGTTTAGAATTGAGGACTTACAGTACTTGAGAAATGTCTGCTTTAGCCTCAGTTGGAAACCCTGGTGGCTCAAGCCAACCCTCTACCGGCTAAGCTAGGATGCCTGCACACATCTTCGTCGCACTAGCCACCAGGCCTAGCAAGAAGCTGGGGCCCTGCACGTAAGGAAAGCATATTCAAAGTGTCACACCATTTTGGAAAGTCTGACTTGTTTTTTCAGCGGGGAGTCGTCGTGCAGCAGATAGCACGTCACAAGAGTGACAAGAGTGCGTAGAGCCTGGGTATGCTGGATGTCTGTCTGAGCTGTGGGCGATCCGTGGGTGAATCAAAAACCACACACACCTGCACTAGCTGCTTCCTTCCACATACCGACAGCCCCACTTGGAGACCTTCTTCTAAGAAGCACAAGGGCTTGCGTAACGGATGCAAAGTGGCGAAAACTACTCATCAAAGATGTCTGACAAACCCCGTCAGTGATTTTATTGCTGATGTTCATCTACAACCAGCACGCACTTTGAATGGGGCCAACAATATGCCTTCAAAATCATACGCCCAAACTGTAAAGTAGACCTCACCTTGTGTGGCTCTACTACACCACTCTCATTGCAGATTGTCTTTACTCCATCTGAACTTCAAGGCCAGCTTCTGTGCAAGCAATTCCGCTGTTAAGGCAGCGGTGGCAGCGCAACAGCCGTGATGTCCTCAATGCAGAACCACTGCAACAGGGCGGTCACCACAAAGGTCCGCTTGTCATTTGCAAAATACGGGATGAGCACCAGCCGCACCCCTGCTGCTTTGCACAGCTCCCGCTTCTTGATATCTCGCTCCTGCTGTGCCTCAAAGCTGGAGATTTCCCCGAAGTGGAAATAATTCTCCGAATCATAGTGCTGCTCACCCTGGTACTCAAATGCCAGCGACAACTCACGGCAGTAGCCATCCAGCTGCAGACCCTCCAGAAACTGCGGATAGCAGGACCCAAATTTGGAGGGGAAAAAGATGGTCTCGAGGATGTCGCGGATCCCCGCCTCTGTTCTCCAAATGCTGGTTGCGCAAGTTGGGCACCAGGTCTTCCCGTTGATCACGTTGCAAGCCATCGCCTTCCATCGGTGTCCCTCCAGGCACTCCCAGAGAAGCTTGGTATAGCAGTTCTTGTACGACTTCGACAGGCACCTCCCACCCAGCGATGCGGCGTGAGCCTGGACGCGTTGAAGCCCAATCTTCCTGCAGTGTGGGCACCACTGACCATGGTTCAGTACATGAAGAGGTGTTGCCTCCCAGACGTGTTTGCGCTTGCACTGCCACGGCACCTTGCTGTAGCTGTTCACATATTTCGTCGCCAGGCACTCCCCGCCTCGCTGCGCCGCATGCTTCGTCAGCCGCGCCAACCCGATGGGAGCACGCTGCGCACAGACAGGACACCAGGTGTTGCCATTCAGCACGCTTCGTGGAGCTGCAAGCCACCTGTGACCCTTCTTGCACTCCCACTGCACCTTCTTCTTCATACCGCAATATTCAGTGGCTAGGCAGCGGCCTCCACACGAAGCTGCATGCTCGTGCAAGTCCTCCAAGCTTCGCCTGGTGGGCACTTTCTGCTTTCGCGCGCATTCAGGGCACCAGGTGCCATGGTTCAAAACGTTGTAGGCGATGGCTTCCCAGGTGTGTCCCAACTTGCACTGCCAGCGATACTTGGTTTTGCTGTTGGTGTACTTCGTGGACAGGAGCTTTCCGCCTCGCTCCCTCGCGTGGTCCTGCAATCGCTCCAGAGAGCCCCTTCGCCTTTCAACAGCGCACTGCGGGCACCAGCTCTTCTGGATCAAAACACTGGCCGGAGTGGCATGCCATCTGTGGCCATGCGCGCACTCCCACTGGACCTTCGTCCTGTTGTTCGAATAGGAGTCTGCCAGACACAACCCGCTTTTGCCCGCAGCATGGTCCTGGAGGCGCTTCAGCAACGGGGCCTTCGCGGCCTTCGAGAGCGCAGTCCTGACAGAGTTGCCCACCCTCTTTCGGGCAGCTGGCCTTGAAGACGGCAAAATACAAAGGAAAGTCCAAACCGTCAAACCCAATCCAATTTGGTGGAAGGACGCTATCTCGGGCGGTGTCGTAAGACTGGGCGCGGCACTGACTGTCAGAGAGTTGTGGCACATCTTTGGCAGCCATGAAGGCAGAGCATGTTGCATCCCAGCTGGTACCTAAGGCGAGCGGTCTAAGCACGGCCTTTGTTAGACTAGTCAAACTTGGTTCTGCGCTTGACCTGAAAGGCCTCGGCATGAAAAATGTGACACTTGGCTGTACATTACACAAAACCGAGCAGGCTGCTAAAAACTCAATGAGGACAAGGGCAAAGTTATGATGCTGCTGAGTCTGCCATTAATTTTGCCTAGTCCCTGTTTCTACTTCTTGGAATAAAAATCAAGCACCAGACACCCTTCTGACATTGTCCGACATGCGTATGCAGGCCCCCTTTTTTGTCCTTGCAGGCAGGAGGAGCCCCAGGTCCATAAAGCCAGGCAGCTGCTTCTCGGCCAGCCGTTGCCATGTGAAGGAAGCAGGAAGCTGGCAGAGCCTGAGGCTCGCATACTATAGCATACTATACTATAGTACACTATATTAGTATAATGTATACCAAACTATTTTATGGAATTCTTTCGCAAGGTGTAGTATAGCACAGATACTCTACTATTATTCTTCTCCTTCCTCACCTTCTTGTCTCTTCCTTGCTGTTCTGGGTTCGGTCCTCTAGCTAATAGTACACTTTAAACTCACCACCACTGAAAAAAAGGCTGGTGGCTCATAAGTCACACTCAGTTCAAGAGAAGTCAGCAAAGATTGGGTGAAGGAGCCTGTCACTCTGTCAACGAAAGCCTCTACTCCTCAACCGCTGCCTGTAGGCCATCGAACTAGCAGTAGTGAAATCATCCTTGCGTTGCGCAACAACACATAAAAGCAGAGCTGCTAAACAAGATGTAAGCCATGCCGTGGTTAGTAGGGAATAAGGCAGTACATTCCTTATAAAGAACATTCTCTTATTCCCTACTAGCCTCCAGTAACCATAGTCATGACTTCCTGCAGTGGTGTCGAGGAACATGCTTGCCTGCCTTTCCAGGCGCAGCGTCACTCCTCGCCAAAGACCTGTGCGCTGCGGTCCCCAGCTACCCTACCCTTCGCAATGTGGAGTCGGCATGGCAGTCATGAAGAACGTGCCGCCCTGTAAGGATTTTGCGACGAGCGGTCGAGCCTAGTTCAGAACAAAAACTGCGTGTCCGATATAGCACTTGAAGAGTGCTTAGTTTAATGCCATACACAGCCACTGAGGCGAGGCCCCAACAGAACATGCAAAGATCCTGAACTTTCGGCTTCCCTCCTACGCAAGCCCAGCCGGAGAGTTGGCCCCAACAATGGGATGTCAAGGCGTAAGCTACCCAGGTAGCCCCAAACCTTCAGCTCGTCAGAATAAACTCTAGTTCAAGAAATGGTAGTTTCCCAGGAATGGAGGACTTCAATATAGACCCCAAAATGCTAAAGTCCTTATTATGGGACCCCCAAAAAGGTACCCCTAATTTTGGGAAACCCTCAAATCGGAATCAAAAATCAGTCCAGGAGCCATGAGGTTGGGGAGCAACTGCGTGAGATTCTGCACAACCTCAGGCGTTAAGAGAAGTGCGGGTCAAAGTCGGGAGCTTCCGATTTAGGGTGTAGGAATTCTTTGAATTGCTGGCTTTGGACTTGCAGGTTGCATAACAACTTCCTGAAAGTGCTCAGGCTATGGGGCTCGGGCTTGTTTGGACTTTGTAGCTTCTGTGTCGCAACCTTCAGCTCCCTTAAGTGCATAGAATATGGGGTACATGTGGATCTGATTATCATAGTAGGCAATTCCGTTGGCACGATGAGGCATGGTGCCTACCCTGATTTACGCTGAGTAGGATGACCGAAGCTCACTGCCTTCCATAGGTAGGTCGTAGCTTCCTCGATCACAAGACAGGAAAGTTTTGGGGGGATGCACCTCACAGATCCAAGACACGAACATGTGCGGCAAAAACATACGGGTCTGCGAGACTCCTAGCCTGGAGGACATCCTCCTCCCAGCCCAGCAGCCGTCATGCAAAGAAGCCAAGTCCAATCCAAGACTGTACCGGCAAGCCCCATGCTGACCTCGCAAACTTTTGCAGCTGCGTACTCCTCAAAAAATACACATCAATGAATCACCATTCAACCTCCCAGAGAGTCTGCCCTGTGAATCACAACCATCTTCAATACAAAGACCTCCCTACCCAATAGCCAGGCGCCTCGTTAACTGCGATTCGCACCTCCTGCAGGCAGCGATCTGCAAGCGTGTTAAGTGCGAGAAGCTTGGGTCGCTGACTTCCATTGCAATCTCAGCTGTTTGCTATCCAGCATGACGGAAACATGTAATGTAGCTCGGCCTGAAACATGTGAGCTACGGTCTAAACTCCACCTAGTATCCTCCTAAATAACCTCTACAGTAATCCCCTATACAATCCCCTATATAACCCCCTTCAAGGAATTTAGATTATAGGTCATGTAGAAAGTGCAGCCGCGTTGCGGAGCAGTTATGCTAGCCGTACTTGAAGTTTGGGATGCAGCAGCTGCTGAAGAAAAGAGTTTCTCATGTTAGGGCTTAGGGCTTACGGTTTAGGGCTTAGGGTTTACGGTTTGGTTTAAGGTTTAGGGTTTAGGGTCTAAGGTTTAGGGTTTAGGGTCCAGACCGTTTTACCACTCTGGATCCACCCTGTTTCAAAGCCAGCGAGTTGAGGCAACCCAGAATCCAAAAATTCAAGAATACGGGCACCCCGTGTCAACCCTCCACGGCACGCAGGTTCGGCCAGTTCCCTTTGCACAACCAGACTAAACTTCCAAAGTCCCCATGTACTCAGATCCACAAAGAAGTGACTCAACACTACACATGCAAGCCAAGTAAGACACCGCAAGCAGTAAACTCTGATACCAAAAAACTTACAACCCAGACCAGCCCGAAGCCCAGATCTTAGACACTAAACTCCAAACCGTCAGCTCGTCCTTCGTTGGAGGACTCGGAGGCAGATGCTTCTGATGACTGCGATGCTGATGGCTGTGGGGCTTGAAGGCGTGTTTGATCCTGAGCCGCTTGAATCTCTCGAGAAACACATGCCTCCAAGCCTTAGATATTCGAAGTATACTGAACGTGAAGATCTTAAACTTCCCTCTCAAAGAAGACCTGGCCATGCCCACCCGAACGTTCCCGGAGAATCCGTGCAGCAACCGGGGGATCCGGCTACACCCTAAAAAACCTAAACCCCAAACCCGAAGCTGAGGGACTTGGTTTTGATTCAAGTCGGGAGGCAGCTTGCCAGCATCCAGGGCAGCCTTGCAGGCATGCAGTAGCTGCAAGACACCAGGAAGCATACTGTACACACCGAAGCCTTCCACCAATTTCAGCGGTTTCCCTACCATGATAACCAATTCAACATCCTGCTGCTCTCCCTGCCGGAAAAGCACCCAAAAGCCTGCTTGGCGTGGTGCGAGGCCAGGGCAGCGGCCTAGAGTGGATTTTCTGAAATGTTGGGAGGGGACGGGGCTTCCCCAAAATTGGAGGTAACGTTTTGGGGGTCATAGGGGATATGCAGGGGCTGTATAGAGATATAAGGCAATATAGGGAATGCTTAGGGTTCAGCTCGCTGGGGATACTAGTAAAGGATCCCTGCCCTATAATGTGGGGGGCACTATGGGGATTACATACGTTCCTTTTCAACAGGATGCTCCCTACTATGGGGGGTATTATGGGGACCTTCTGAAGCTTGCCTCTTAAGAAGCATTCATTCCTTCCTTCACCACTAAGAAGCGGCAAGCTGCATGGCCCACCATCTCGGAGGCGGTCGCCCGGCCGTCCACGGATCTCAGGACCTCCTGAACCGTATGAAGGGGAGAGAGGGAGGATGATGGAAGGAAGACACACCTCTTAGGATTTTAAAATACTGCATCGGAAGTACCAGTGTGTGGAGGAAGGGGTGCATGCACAGGAAGGGAGATAAGGGATGCAGAACCAGAATCTGGCCGCAAGGGGCCTAAATGCTTACGCAAGCCGAAGCTCCACAAGAGACCACCCAAGACGACGACGTTGAACGTTGAAGCCGGCCCCGAAAACAACAAAACTCTCCCCGCCTCGACATTAACCACTCAAACATTCAGCGTTACGAAAACAAATCTGGCAAGACCGGTCCTTCTCCTTTTCAAGCTGTTGCGAAACTTCCTGAGGCTGTGGAGCTCCCATCAAAAATGCACGCTCATGATTCCCGCGCGGTGTGAGTATAGGGCCCATACAAGATGGCAAGGGACCAGTGATCTCGACAGGCAGCTGCTTAGCATGTAGGCCCTGTAGAACTGTAAAGGTACAGAATGACAACTTACCGGGCAAGCAAAATCAGCGTCAGGCGCCTTGGCCCCGTACACCACTTGGATTCCATTATGCTATTCGCATGATTGGATGGGGAGCTTAACCGCCTTAGCTCTCATGGTCAGTCTAGAGCAAGAGCTGTGACCATACTCAAGGGAAAAAATGGCATCTTCAATATTTGGGCTAAGTCAATGTTCTTACCCAGCCTTTGAGTGACAACGGAGAAAAGATGACGTCGAAAGTCATAATGTGCATTCTCGTGCCATGGAACAAGACGCAAGGATATCGTTGTCAAAGCGTTACTCTCACCTGTACCTGTACGACAGCCGCGAAATCTAAGATCTGGCCTGGATAAGCTAGACTATGCAAAAGGTCGAAGCTGGGATTGTTTGCGCCATGGCGCAAGACAAGTAGGATGCTGAGATCTTGGAATGTCTTGCACCATGTTGAACGCATAGACTGAGACTACCTCCCGGCAAAAAGGTGATTTGGGACTTCCACAGTCATCACTGGGAGTGGTACCATCTTGCCTGCTTTGGAACGGCGTTTACAAGCCAAAATGGCCTGAGTAATAGGGACTTCGATATGGCTATGAGTTATAACTACACTCATTAGGTCGGTTGTGACCACCTGGACCTCCAGGTAGACCAGAAGCCCGTGACCCCAACAAACGAATCACTAAACCCTATCTCTAAAAACTACACCAGAAATCCCAACATCCTAGCCCTTGAAAACTTACGGTACATACTGTCCATCCTGCATGACCCTTAAGTACCACAAGCCTGGAAATTGCTGGGAACCTTGTATCATAAGGCTATGGGGATTTGACATCAAGGGTATCAACCCCGCAACCACCCTGGAGTTCCATTGCAGTCTCAGGCCGCTGCTTCAAGCTTCGGCTCTAACTTGTGTTGGAGGTGATGAAGGCCCTGCCCCAGGTTCAGGATGTAGGATTAGCAGGACTTGGGATTTGGATGTATGGATTATGGTTTTAGTTTAGGTCTAAGGTTTGGGGGCTCAGCCTTCACGGCCTGCAATACTCAGGATTTGGAGATCAAGGCTCAGGATTGAACAGAGTTATGCGTTTGGGACTTCGGGCTTGCGACCGGCATCCACGGGTTCAGGTCTCACAGACCCTGACACTCAATTTGGGGACCCTACTTCCATGCATTGCCAAAGAGGAAGATCAAGGACGTCAGGGAGTCCCATCATCGCTAGCACTTAGAAAAGCAAGACCGCAGGCTGCTGAAAACCACTTCTGCAGTCTACCAATCCATGCGCCTCCGAGGCCAACACTGCAGCGTGTTCCTGGCACCACCATGTGCGAGGGGACTCAGGGTAGAGACAGCGGCGCTTATGGCTGAAGGAAGCTGTGGAGTTTAGGGACTAAGTTCCCAACATCCAACATGCTTGAACGGGCCCCAGCGCTTCGAAACTCAAAGTTGCAAACTCCCAAGACAACCTTCTGGGCCTTTGAGCCTTGGTTCATGTTAGGCGTTTTCAGATTTTCTGTCCAGCCTCGGTCGCCAAAAAAAAGAGAGCATCTGAATGCCTGTGACACTCCCGCATTCTGATCGTAACAGACTTTTGTCCCGGAATCATGAGAGGTTTACATGGATAGGGGAACCCATGTAACCCCCCCAAGCGAGGAAATCCCTCGTTGCAAGTGCCAAATAATAATCTATGTCTTCCGAAAACTGGAGCCTCTACAAGACTAAACCACCAAAGGAGGCAAAGACCTTCAAAACTTGAAGGAAGCACAAGCTGACAAGCTGTCACATACAAATATGGTTGTGTCAGAAACATAGGGGCTACTTTTTGTTGGCTCGTCGGAAGAAGGATTCTTGTTTTCTCGTCTTTTCGACAGGATACATTTTTTCGGGACCTAGCTGCCTAGGCTAAGGCTGCGGTGCCACCAGCATTTCCCTCCTGCCTGGTTGGCAAAGGATGCGATTCCACCCTGGCAAACTTTTCGGGTACGAGAGCTGGAGTGTAGGCCTTAGAGCCCCTGCACCCACATACAAAGCCCGAAAATACTGAGTACTGCGAAGAAAGTTACCCCGAGCAAGTAAGGTTTCCGCAAGTTGCGGATGTTCACTGATTCTGAAAGGACCTCCCCAACCAAATTGCGACTTGTAAGGCGCTGTCGGGATATGCTTGGGGAACTTTATCAGGGCTTGGACCTTGGACCCTCAACTCCAACCGCTGACTGCTAGACGCCACTCAATCATCCACACGGACATTTTCATACCGAGTGATACCGTAAGTAGCTTGCACAAACACGGTGCATCAAGCCTCCAAGTTCGCCGTCTGCAGGGAGATGTTGATGCCATCCTTCACCTGCAGAGTTCTCCTATTGGTTCAACCCTGAAGCAAACGTCTAGCGCTTTTTCATCCTCACCCTGAAGCTAAAAATCTTGTCTAAGAAACCCTCCGCGCTCAGGTTTAAATGAACATCTCTGTGCGACGTGTACCCATGCTTGCAGGAAAGACCCCTACCAAACTTGCTTGTATCACAGATCATGCAAAAACACAAGCCGAAGGGGAACAAAACACAAACGCATCTTCCGTGAGTTGTCTTCAGAATTCTACTAAGGTCTATAGTCTATGCTACATTCCTCCCAAAGTTTTGGGGCTCTCAACAGAGAGATTCTGGTCTCCCTGGCCATATATCAAAAATGCGAGTGACCAAATCTCCCCTGTCGCCACTGGCCTCTTTGGCAACATCTCTGGCGTGCTTCGCCACCTGATCATAAGTACTATAGTCTAAACTCCTTCAAGGGGGTTATATTCGGGACTACTATAAGAATTGTTCAGGGGGATACTCGGAGTTTAGACCCTAAACCCTAAACCCTAAAGCCTAAATCCTAAACCCTATCATTAGGATGATTGAGGGGCATACTAGGAGTTTAGACTGTGGCTCATAAGGTGAAATATCAACTTCAGTCCCAAATCACAAACTCCTGCAGCTTAGGATCCCACTTCCTTTCCTGTGGGACACTTGTTTTATAAAGTTTGTTTAGGGTGTAGAGTACAGGACAATTTTGGGGTTTGTTGAGACATGTTTGCTTATGCATCTGCAATTTGAGAGTTCCATCTTCCACTAAACATGAAGCAAGCTAAAGTGCCGCAACCCTGCCTTGCCGGCCTCTCCTTAGATGAATAGAAACTGACTCTGAAAAAAGCCTGAAGACAGCCCTCCCGACACAACACAAATCTTGTTGTTTGTCAGCTTGCAAGTTCCAACCTGAACTAGGAATGCCAGCCCTTTCTATACAATAGCCTTCGTGGTACAGAAACAAGGCTCTTGTGAAGACTCCCCTTCCCTAGCACGGTGAAAGTTATGAAGGTCATCTACATTCAAAAACAACCCAGCAGAACAGAACAACTTACTTCAACCGTGGTTGTAGCAAAAAGTAGTAGAACCCGCCTCTTTCTCAGATTGCAGGACGTCCTGGAATGGTCACATAAGTCTGGTGTGCAGGGTTTGATGCTGAGTTGTGAGGTTTCCGTTGTTGGGCTTTACTCGAAAGTTCATGGGACTTTGTAACTAGTTATACCTGGGCTTATAACTCTACCGATCACATGAACAAATGTAGGCACCCACGTTGTTCTTTCAAATCGGCCAGGAACCCAAATCTAGGGACCCAAGGTCTTTCTGAAGCGCGGGACATGCGTCGCGGGCCGGAAGGCGACAAAACCGGGGAGCATCAGTCTTCTGAAGTCAGGGGCGACTCTTTTGGGAGGTTCAGAGGGAATGGTGCCACTGTTAGCAGTTCGAAAGATGTTTTGCAAATCTTCAGCTCTTGGTCAGCAACTTGGTGGTTGGCAGTTTGAATGTCTGAGCTTGTTGCATGGTGTACTAAGGGGCCTCAAAGCCTGAACCCCAAATCCCGAATCCAGCTTCAGGTTGCCCATGAAACTTTGAAATTCCAAGTCAACCTAAATCTTGAAGCCCAGACTCTAAATCGTGAACTCTAAACGTTGAATCCCAAACTGAATCCCAAACCCTAGATCTTAGATGTAAAAGCAAGGCCCCACCGTCCTCCACCTGCGCAGCCCGCGCTGCGCTGTTTTCGTGGAGTTGGCTGAGGTTTGCTGCGGCCTGGACCTGGGCCCCGAAATCTGGGATCCGAGTTCCTCCGAGATATTGGCCTTTAGGCCATGGAAATCCAAGGGTGTTGCCCATCATTTGTTGGATCAGAATTGCAACTCAAATAGAAGGCTCGCTCTAGACTAATTCACGTGCAGTCTACGATTGTGGATCAACGACTTCAGGAAGCTTGATGATTGGTTGGGTCTCGATCCACAGGCTCTCTTCAGAAATCCAGTATGGGGCTGTTGGGAGGCTACCATGCTTCCTATGTGTCCACACCAAAGCCAAAGCCTACGCTTCCTTCTCCAGACACCACAAGGGCTACTTCTGCTGCTGCCACTACTGCTGCTCTTCTACTACTCTCCTGCCCCTGCTGCTGATGACAAAAAGCGATCATTCCGCCAGGCGGCCGCAAAAACCTCGTCGCCAGCCAAGGAAGCGATCTGCTCCTGCAAAACCAAGCAATGTCGAAACGGGATGAAAGTTTAGGATTGGGGTTTAGGGTTCACAGGGTTTGGTGTTCATGGTTCAGGGCTTGAATTTGGAGAGCCTGAAGCCATGGACGTTGCTCATACGTGGGGTCGAGACCAGCAAGCGTGGAACCTGGGAAGAAGTCTTCTGTGGGCGACTGACCCCGCGGTTTTTGTATGCGGTCCCCCAATCGGACGCAAAATATACACACTCACCACTACTCGTCAGGGACCCTATATACACTCACCAAAATCCACAACACAACCTACTTCAGAGGGTTCCATGAATG